ACGAAGTGTTCCTTCTAGAAGACGTAATGAGATCATGCAATACGGTGACCAGCACTGTGCCAGCACAGAAGAGTGGGAACTATTATTAAAGTCACTAGTTTTTGTGCAGTGGTCCCAACAAACTTCATAATTCACAGTTGTACTTTCTTTTGCCTGAAAAATGGAGCATCTTTTCCTAGTCGGTAGCAACATCTCTGATGCTTTGAGATTCCAAGATAACAGGAGAAAGCATCACCTGCTTTCTCATCAAAATCCAGGTGGGCAAACCCAGAGCAGTCAGGCCCCACCAAAGAATTCTAGTTGCACGAAATTAATTATGTGTCATTTTCTAATTATACCAGAAACTCACTTTCTCCCTTTGAAAAATTGTTCCCTATATGGGATTTTTTTCTTTCGTGCAGTAGTCTCTTGGTTTCTTGTCTAATAGTCTATTTTATTTTCTACTGTTCAATTGAGGCTTTAAAGAAATTGAAATCTATCTCTCAAGCCAGAATGCCACATTTCTTCATTCTTTCACTCACTGATTCATTCAACAAACATTCATCGATGATTACTTTCCAGCAGACTACTTTGAGCACTGGGAACATAAAAGTGGCTACTATATCATCTCTGCCCTTAGAAGTTCCCAGTTCTTGCTGACCTCCTGGGAGAAGGCCCAGTGAAATAACACCAAAATCACTAGGAGAATTTATTTGCAAGACTTTCACTAGATCAGAGTTCTGACCCTTTTAGGAGGCAAAGGGAACAGAACAAGAAAGAAGCCAGCCAGGATTATCTGCTGCACTTTACAAATGGGGAAGCTGAGTCCCAGAGAAGTGGGGAGCATGAAATTACTTAATAACTGCAGGCCTAGAGGCTGGGGATTTAGCTCAGCGGCATAAGTGCCTGCCTTACAAGCTGGCAGTTGTGAGTTCGATCCCCGGTACTGATAAAAAGGAAAAAGACCAAAAAAAACCCCAAAACTGTAGGCTATGTGTCTTTGTTTTCACATATGCTCTGTGAGGTGAGTGTTTTATCACCATTTTCCACATGCAGAAACAGACACTTAGGTTAAGGAGCGCATGGGCAAGTCAGCCGACCTGTGCATGGCAGAGCTGGGTTTTAAACACAGGCGACCTGGAGCAAAGCTCTCAGCCTGCTGACTCAGCAACTACACAGCAGGTCAGCAGTGGCTCTGGGAACCTCCTGCCCCCAACCCCCTGCCCAGTCTCCTAGGCTAGTGGTTTTTAACCTCGAACACACATCAGAATCACCTGGAGGGCTTGTTAAAACACATAATTTCATGCCCCGCCCCCAGAGTTTCTGATTCAGTAGATCTAGGGTGGGGCTGAAAATTTGCATTTCCAAGTTCCCAGAAGATGTTGAAGATGGTGATGATCCAGGGACCACACTTTGAGAACTCTGCTCTAGGTGAACTGAGAATTCTTTAAAATAATGACCCTTCTTCCGTTTCTAAAGAACACAGGTCTGTAGAATGCAAGTACACAAAAAATGTGGGACCTACAGAGGGCAGTGGAGAAGAGAGTTCATTCATCTTCTTCCTCTGGGAAAACTGTTAACAGTTCAGTATATGTCCTTGTCCCTTTCCAGCGTTTGCGCACAAAGGAAGCGGCGTGGCATATCGTGGTGGCACACTGTTCCTGGCCCTGGTTAAGCCGCAGTTAAGATCCCAGCTCTGTGAGACGCCGGGTGAGCCTGAGCCAAACCTTAACCTTCCCTCCTGGGACTGCACTTACACTTCCATATCTCTCTGGGTTGTTGGGACGGATCAAGGAGCCAAAGTAGTTCCAACATTTCACACAAGATCTGATGTGGAGTCGGGGCTGAATATTCACTTTCTTGTTTTAGCCCAACAGGAAGCTCCCAGGATCCAAATTATGCTTAAGCCCTGCTGCCCTTCCTCTCTGTCCCTCACTGCGGGGACCTCTGATGACCTGCTCAGTCCTGCCACTCACTACTGAGACTGTCTCAGCTCCAAGCACAGCAGCCCAGGTCGAGGTTAGAGTTGTCTCCAGTGCTCTCTGTGCCCAGTTCGCCTGTTTTACAGCCCAAGCTTAATGAGGGCTTTTAACTTTCCATTCACTAGCAGCGTAACTCCGACTTTTAATAACACACCTTGTGCACGACAAAAATTTGCTCCTGGCAATCATGGTTTCGACCACAAAACCGCAGCGGGGAGGCGTTCTTGGTTAACTCTTTCAGCGCTCCAGGCAGTCTGGAGCCTGCACTGCCAGAGATCAGATAGACACCGCGGCTGGCAGGGCCTCACTCATTGGCTGCCCCTCCACCACCCGCAAGTCCTGCCCTCTGCGGCCTCTCTCCAGGGATTCCCAGCCAAAGAGGGTGGTGGTCCAGACTGTGCACTGAGGACTGCAGTAAGGAGGATCCTGAGGCGCCACCTCCAGCGGATGGACCTTGATGGGGCAAAACCTTGCTTCCTTGGTGGTAAACTGTGGCTAGTCTGAGAGTCAGGGCTGGGTTCTACAGGTGTGCCAGGCACACAGTAGGCCCTTGGGAGCTTTGGAACCTTAGAAGGGGCCAGGAAGTCACTTTGCACCTTGTGGTCACTGGTAGTGGCCACAACATCCAACGTACGCTCCAGACTGTGACCGCACATCACCCACTCCGGAAGTCCCGCGGCAGGCAGTGCGCAGGCGCAGAGGGCAAAGGGCAAGCACAGGCTGATTTCCCTGCGGACCCGCTGCCCCAGAATCCCTTGCGGCCGGATGTAGCCACTGGGCACGGGGTGAGCCCATGAGCTGTAGGTGCCCAGGGCGGCTGGCCGAGGCCCGGCGCTGGGCCTGACCACATGAAAGGCCTGGGCGCTTGCCACCCAACAACCGCCTCCAGCTGGTTCTGACTACACTGCCCGGCCGGCCTTCATGCTGCTCACAACAGACCTTCGAGGTGCCACTCTCCACCTAAAGCCTCACAGTCGGTGTGGAGTGTATGGAGCCCTACACGGGGCCGATAGTTCGCGTATTGAAGCTCACAGTTCCGCCTGCCAGGTAGGTGTTTATAGTTTACAGGGAGGATACACACATTCACCCAGATCCAGCAGTAGGAAAGTGACAGAAATGGAAATCTGACTTTTGCCCCAGGGCTGACCAAGAGCTGGTCCTTCAATCGGGGCTCAAGATGAATGCTTGGACTGTACTCTTAGGCACTTCTTAGGGGAATGCCCTGCAAGACCGAGGCCACAGCAGCAGCTCAGAACTTGCAAGCTAAGGACTTAGCAACGTAGGTACGGACTTCCTTGGAGAAAGAAGCCTCATCTGTCAGAAGATTTGACTTCAAGGCCAAATCACTGAAGAGGAAAAAAGTAAAAACCTTTCTATTCAAGTAAGCAGCGTCAGGACTTGGATCCTCTAAAGAGCAACCCGAATGGTTCTGCCTGGGCTGGCAGTAGCCCTCAAAATTTTTGTGTGTGCCACGTATGAAAAAATGGAAAGTGAAGGGTTCCCAATACTCAGTTGCTTATTTCTGTATTGAATAACAATAATATTATGAGTTTGCTGCCTACCAGGCTTGAAAGCAATCACTGTTCTAAAGTTACTGGATTTTCCTAACAGCTCCAGAAGGTGGATGCCACTGTGGGCCACCATTTCTAGGTGAAGAAATGGAGCATCAGGTGAAGTGATTTGCCCAAAGTCACAGAGAATAAGTGCCACAGCTGGGACTTGAGTCTAGGTGTCGGAACAAGGTACCTGCTGTTATGCTAGTCCACTTGTCAATCCAGGAGATTTATTCAAAAGAAATCTGATGCCAGTTAACCACAGGGATTTTATTGTGAACATAGTTGGCCAACCTAGAAGAACCCCAGAATCACCCGGTAATCCTAGAATCCTAACTGCAGCCAGGATCCACCAATTGCTTTGCCTGAAGGTCTTTTAAGTTCTTAAAATACTACTGAGTAGGAGGTTGAAAAAAAGGTTATTTTACCTGCTTCTGCTCACTCATGTCTAAGGATGTCAGAAAGAGGAGAGTCACAGTTAAGGTGTTCGAGCTTCATCTGCCAGCTCCCTGAATCCAAGCTAAAACAGCACAGATCTTGTCCTCATCCCACCTTCTCTGAGATCTAGAATGCTCCCAGGGGTCCATAGTGAAGATCAGTTTAGCCAGGTAGGCTTCTGAATCCCAAGTGTGGGCAGGAATGCACCTGCATCCTTCCAGGCATCAGAGATGACCTCATCGAAAACCACTCCTCAGCTTCCCCAGCCAGAACTGCCTCTGAACAAAATGAACCACATTTTATTGAAAGCATCTGCAAACTTTAGCTTTGTGCTAAGCATTTTACAGCCTTAGCACACTCGACTCTCAAGTATCCTACAAAGTATACGTGTACCCATTTTCCAGATGAGGAAAATGCAATCCAGATAAGTTGAACGACTTATTCAAGATCCCACAGCCTTTAAAGGACAGAATCTGGATTTGAAGGTAGGTTAAGCCCCCTATAGAGAATGCGCATGTTAAACTACCACACTCCAGCCTTCCTGCTTGGGATTGTTCCAGTTCAACAAACAAGTGCCTGTAGAGAAACCCAATTCTCTGCTTAAGACAGCTCTTAAAAGCACCTCAAAGAAGTTCCTTTTGGCAAGAAGATAGAAACCCAGTGAGGGGCCGGGGTTGTCTCTGATTTCCAAGGCCCCTTCAGAGTATCAAAACGTGGTGCCAGAAACCTTCACAGTTTCACTCCTGTGTTGCTCTGCCTGGCTCGAAACTGCTTAGCAGAGGGAGAGAAAAACTATTTTCCCAGGGAAACACTCAGCTCTAGCTTGAGACCAGGGCTTGTCTCAACTCGCCGAAGCAGAATCGTCAGCTCATTCATTTACCCTTACAAATTGCCGTGTGAATTCTGGCGCCGGCCTCCCCGCTCTTCCTCCTCCTGGAAACCCCATCCACCCTCCAAGCTCCGAGGGCACCAGGCATCCGCTGATGTTTACTCACTCAAGTTCATTCGACATCTTCCTGCTCCCAGGCTCTGACGATCTGCTCCGAGGCTCTGCGGACCACTTGTCTCTAGTTCTTGGCTGACACAGACATTCCCTGCCCAGGGAAGTGTTTGATTTATGTTGAGGTTTAGGTGTCAGGATTTTGCTGACAGGTAAGTTCCCAGCAGCGCTAGTGCTGATTGGCTGTCGGTACAGGTGCCGGCAACTGCAGGTATACCTCAACAGGTGCAGCTGTTAACTCTTGGCCCTCCAGGAGGGCGGAGCCAGGAGGGGCTGGCTGGGTGTAGCTGGCCAATTCCTCCCTTGGTGAGGGGGCGGGGGGCGGAGATGAGGGAGGAGGGAGGAGAAAGAAGCTGGAAAGAAGCAAGACAACTAGAGGAAAAATACAGAGACCGATACTTGGTTAGTTAGAGTCCTGGGTGCCAGAAACATCTCCTCCGTAGTCCTCGGTCCCCTCCTTCCCTCTGGGAAATCTCAAAGGAGAGACAAGATCTTCCCCTGGTGTCTTTGTATAAATCCCCCTCACCTTTTTTTTTTTCTTAAGACTTTCCCCTTATTTATGAATAATTTAGTTATTCAAGTGATTACCTTTGATTCTCACAGCAATGCAACATCACTCGCTGTCACTTTCCTCTTCCTTCCCAGCGCGTGCACATTACAGATGAGGGAGGAAGGGGAGGCTGGAGAGGCAAAGCCACTTGCAAAGGGGGACTGACGTGGCTGCCAGAGCTCAGACCCAAAGCTGCGGTCCCGAGTCCGGCTGCCAATGGCCAGAGCTGAAGACAGTACCCTCCGTTTAACAGACTCTCACTGAGTATCTGTTGTGAACGAGGCTGTGCTTTGGATTCTGGGGAAACAGAGGCCAGAGAACTTGGGAGGAGCTTCCCATGTGGGGAGGTCGCCGGGGCCAGGGAGGCCATCTTTTATGGAGTATGATACAGATCTGAATGGGATGTGGGCAAACCGCATACCTCGGGCTGGCACAGAAGGGATGGAGAAGTTGGAGTTGGCCATCTTTGAAGCTTTAGCTGATCATTCCACCAACTCCGAGTGCCGCTTTCTGCTTTGGGAGCTCAGGAGAAATCAGTTGCCTATTAGACGAAGTAATTGTGGAATAATTGCTATGAGCCATCTTCTCTAAAGAACGAGGTTGGTAAACCCAGAATATCCACAAGCAGGAGAAAGCTAGAGTTTTGTTTGTTTTGTTAAGGAGAGGCTGCCTGGAATAATTTGAAATTAAATCTAAGCCCAAAACTTCTTTCCCGACCCCCTTGCATGTCTCTTTTTGCTCTGTCTTCCTGGGGTCCTCGCCTTGGCCCATTCCTTTCTCTGTCAGGGAAAGGCAAAAGAGGTTTCAGCTGCCCTTGCTGGCCGGATAGAGGTTTTCAGGGTAAAGTCAGAGACCTTCGGGGTCAGGGGTCAAGCCTGGGGTGAAGGCATATTGAGTTTGAGAATTCCCAGTGTAGTTTCTCACTGGAGGCTATGCGGAGGTCATCACAAGGGCCCTAACAAATGATAGTAAATAAGAACCCCTGATAAAGCTTTGTCTTCAGGGCAGCCCTCTGCAATCACCCTTGGAAAAGTAGACAGTTATTTCCTGTCACAGCTCTATGTAGTCTCTGCAAAGCCTTACAACTTGTTGATGTTTCTGTGATTATCTATCTCTATATTCCTGTGGAAAGAAACTCCGTAGAAGCACAGACCCTTGTGTCTTTTTCAGTCCTGTCAGTGTGAGGCTCCTAGTAGGTGCTGGATACACAACCTAGATCAGGCATTGTGCAGAGCTCTTGCGTGCATTATCTCATTTAATTCTTATGACAACCCTGTGAGTTGCTTTTATCATCCCCATTTTATAGATGAGAAAAGTGAGGGACAAAGTGATTAAGTAAAACCACTCAAGGAGAGCAAGGCAGTGGTAGAGAAAGCTGGGAGTTAATCTGAGAGCAGAGCTTGGGTGCTCAGCCACTTCACAGAGGCTATTGGTGCCAGCCGTGACTGCAAAGCTGGCCGCGACCCGAAGGACGGCACGCTTCTCTGTATGTGCCTGCCTCCCCACCTCAGGGACGGCTGTGGTTTCTGTCAGCTGTGTTGCAACGCACAGGTGAAGGACTGGCAGGTGACTCACGCTGGCTGGGCAGTGGAGCGGGGCTGGGATTCCAAGTGGCATGCCTATGCTTGCAGGGCTTTTAAAAATGGGTTCTCTCCCTCTGTTTCTGGGTTCTGTGTCTTTAAATCACCTGCACCTACCTGCTGAGCTTTGCAGAGGTGCAAGTCATGGGGCAGGCAGAAGGTTTTTACGTCTTTGCAAAGAAAGGCCCCGAAAAGTCCCTGGGTGGCGGGAAAGGTTGAGGGGTCTGGGATAGGTAAGCAGCCGGTTCACAGGTCGCCAGACTCCTCCACCGGGAGTCCCACGTCCCAGGCCTTCCTTCCCACTGTGCAGACCCAGGGTTTGAAGAGACACTGCCCAAGCCTTGCTGACGTGTGTGGCCCAAGGCTAGGTGAGGCTGGCACTTCTTTTCACTTCTTAGAGGGACCAGCTCTTGGTTTCCCTGTGGAGGAGATAAAAAACAGGGACCAGTCAATGATGTGACATGTAACATAGTGATTATATTCACAATAATAACAGTGCATAATGATGGCTGCTACTTGGTGTTTGTATTTTGTAAGACTGTGCTAAGAATCACTTGTACTAGGCAGTAATACTGCTCTCAGACTGACAGAGCTCTGTTTACATCCCAGCTCCGTAACGCAAGGTAAGGAACTTGCTCAACCTCAGTTTCCTCACCTGTAGAATGGGTATGAAAATAGTATGCATCCCCCATAGGGTCATTATTAGTATTACATGAGATAATTTAGGCAAAAGTGTTGTATAGTATCTGGCATCTAACAATCAATTGTTACAAAATATTCCCCCCAAAAAAACTTGATGAAAAAACATGACAAATTTATTTTCCAAAATGAAGAAACTGAGATTTAAGTACATTGACTTGTTGAAAATCAATAGCTAATAAGTGAAAGACCTGAGATTTGAACTTGCATCTTTATGATTCCATGGTCGTAGAACTGGACTAAATTAGGGAGTGTCCTGAGTTCAAATTCTGTCTGATCTCTGGCCATTTAGTGACTGAGTAAATCTTGTCTTAGAGTCAGAGTCCCTCCAAAATCCGATTAGCTAATCACTCTACAGACAGATTTGCAGTCAGAATCCCCTGGGTTTCCTTTTCCGGGTTACTTCTTCCAGACACTGTCTGTCCCCTTAGAGTGTGGAGTCCTTCATCTCTCGCTCTGCTTGCCGAGGTCCTGACTCCTCATGAGTCACGGCTTCAGAAGAGCGTGACACTCTCCTTGGCACGTTAGGCGTGGGTCACGAAGGGCGGGACCACAGGACTAAGTACCGCAAGGTGTAGGAGCCAGGGTTGCTTTATTCCTGGGCACCGCACGGCTGAGACGCCATCCTTCAGCCTCGTGGCCTGGTAATAGCGTTGCCTTATCTAGCACTGGAAGACTTCATGCTTCAGCTAGCACATCTGTAATCCTAGCGCTCGGGAGGCTGAGGCCTGAGCATCCCAAGTCCCAGGCCAGCGTGGCCACATAGTGAGTTCAAGGCCAGCCTGTGCTAAATCGTGAGCTATGATTATCCACAATCTTAATGAAATTCCTTTGGCCTATCCAAAAAACATTGAAATGACATCCACTCAATAGCACCTTTCTGTGAGTACAGAAATGACAAGATTTTAATCCCCCCCCCGCCCTCCCCACTAAATGTTCCATATTGCACTTACGTTGGTTCTGTAATCAAAAGGTCTACATAAAGCTTCAGTTTGTCATTAAACCAAAATAAGTGCTCCCTGACTAAACATCGTGTCCCCACACTTTGGGACACAAAGTGGAGACAGAGAGAAAGGTTCAGAGTCCTTACTTAGCTCTTCCTGGGGAAATGTGGGGATGGCGACTGGAGCTGTCCGGCTTGCAGGGTCTTAGCAGCGAGCTCAGTTACAATCTTGGCCTAACAGTTACGATGATCGCTATCACTTTAAGCACTTGTGTCTTTATGTACTGGGGAGGAGGGCGGTCACTCAGTCCCCAGGTGGTCTGATCTTGGGAATGTTGTTGGAGTTACTGGAGGAGAAGCTTGCTTTGACTGAGACCCTGGATGAGCAAGCTGGCTTCTTCCTTGCTGCAGTTTCCTCCCCGGTGAAGTTAGTACCAGGAGGACTAAACAAGGTAAGCGAGCGGCCTTCGGATATGCCAGGCAGTGTCCTTGTGCTTAGAAGCCTAATGAAGAATTGCCGTGAAAGTCCCCATTTTACAGAAGAGGAGCAGGCTTGGAGAAGTGACGTAGCATCTGAGAACACCTGGCTGTCTGCATTGTGACAGAGAATCAAACAGGTTTGTCTGACCCCAAAGCTACGGAAACTGCCCTTTCAGCCTCCTGGGTCCTTTTAGGGACAAGGCATGAAGTAGGTTGCCAAAAGAATTGAGTGAGGGAGAAAGAAACGTTGATAGGGTAGTTGATAATCTGTGTAAGGTACCTTACACAGATTTATCAGCTCCCAGAGGGCAGAAGCTATACAGAGAAAAATAAATCTCACACAACACCTGCCCCCAGACTCAACATAGCAGGTATTCAATAAAGATTTGTTGAACAAATGAAAAATGACTGGATGAGTATAATTTACACAAGATATTAACGTTCAAAGCAAGTTGCTGTTGCCTTTTACGCCCGCCCCAGTCCCGAAGGGAACGCCTGCTAGTTTGAATCTCTACTCCCCACCTCATTAGCATACACCAGTGACTTTACTCCAGCCTTCCCCATCATCCCTCCCCCCTGAGATGAAATTAACTGGGATCTCGATGGAAAGCCAACAGCAAAGGGTAGGTACCCTATAAAAAGTAGCTGCTGTTAGGTGAGCACTGATGTGGAGGCGGGGCCTCTCAGTCACCCCATCCCCTGCCTCCTTCCCAGTCCCTTCTATGAATGGAGCTCTTTTCCAAGCATCTGTGTGTACTTTTTGGTCTCCTGTGATCCAGTAGCCAGCCTGGGGAGGATGAGGCAAGGATGTGTTGTGGGTGCTATTTGACAGGTAATCTGAGGTTCAGAGAGAATCCCCCTAGTTAGGGAACTCGGGGTACTGGAACCTCAGCTTCTGGAAAGTGTCATCTTAGACACCATTGCAGAGCCTGTCCCGGGTCCACACTGAGAGCCCTGTACAAGGGTCATCAGACTTCCCTTCTCTTCCCCATCACTGGGTGAGGACACGACCCTCCTCTGCAGGATTGCAAGGACCTGAATGTCGTGCTCCTGGGGAGTCCGGCCATGGGGTGGGTGGCCTCCAGGCCCTTTACACTTTGTACTTCAGATTTCTGTCAGAGCCCTGCTGGTGACACCACTGACACTCCTACTGGAGGTTTCCTGAACGTCCAGACTCATCGTACGGTCTCAAGCCACCCTGAAGCCTTACAGTAAAAGCAGAGAGCCTCTGCACACGCCCCACGTAAGCAGTTTCCTCACTTATCAAGTTGTTGAGGGATAACTGAAGACACCCAGTCCTGGCAAGGGTAAAGGGAAACAGGTTCTCTCCTGCTGGAAAGAGTGAACCCCTTCAAACTTGGGCTTTCAGTCTTAGCATCTCCTTTGATCTAGCAATTTCACTCATAGGAATTTGGGCCAAGCAGATAATCTCTTTGCTCCAGGATTTATGTACAGGGACATGCACCCGAGCGTTGTTTATAATCCCAAGAAATCAGAATTCATATAAATACCCTGCAGCAAAAGGAAAGGAGAGAAAGGTGCCGAGCGCGCAGGACACGGGGCCACGCTGGAAAGGATGGCTCGGTAGCATTGCTGAGCTCGCAGTATGATTGTTATCGCCGAGTGTCCTTATGTAATCCTCACAGCAGCAAGTGCCATCATCCTGATTTTACAAACGAGGAAAATGAGGCTCAGAAGAGACACGACTTACTAGGAAGTCTCTGAGCTGAGTCTTCACCCTGGGTCTGTTTCTCTGCATTTACTTGACCGACACTTCCTACAGGACATTAGATTGTTCCTATTTTCAAAGTCTACTTATGGGAAGAGAAAGAACAGGAAAGGGACCCACCAGCAGTCACATGTAGACAATGGGGACCAATGTGACTTGCAGTTTATTCTGTTGGCTTATCTGTTGACATTTGCTTTTGTTAACAGAACAAAGAAACTTTATTAAAAAGTAGCAAAGCAAGAGTTTGGAAGGAAGCAGCCAAGCGTTGTTTGGAGATGCTCCCACTGTGGCCGGGAGCCAGCCAGAAAGGAAGCCGCAGGGGCGAGGGGAGCCTCATCGCCGGAAGGAGAGGCTGCGTGGCCCCAGGGATGCCCGGAGGCCCAGTCTTCTAGGACCTGTGCCCCAGGCCCTGGCGGCCTAACTGCTATCGCAGGGCCCATCACCAGCCTGCACCTTAAAAGGCCTTTAAATACACACTGCCCACTTCCAAATAAAAGCGTGCTCCCTGGAGAAAAGCCTGTTAATTTTCCCCACCACCACGGCAAACAACACAACATGGAGAAAGTATTTCCTCCTCTCTGAAGGGGTCAAGCTGGGGGCTTAGAGAGTTGAGGTGAGGGTTTTCTGGAAGAACTACTGAGGGAAGATGGTTAAGGTATGGACCTGGTTTGAGGGGGTCCTGGGCCTCCAGTGCTGATCAGAAGAAGCAAGGAGCAAAGTCAGGGCTGCTTTTCTGGGGCAGGGTGGGGCAGGGTGGGTCCTGTTCTGGGCTCAGGTTATATGAGCACAATTATTAACCCTTGGGTCCCAACCAGTCCTGTTTTTTAGGCTCTGGACAGGCTGTCCACATTGTCCAGCCGCATGCCCTGCTATGGCTAGCCAGCTGTCCTTTCCAGGCTGGCGTCACTCAGGACACCTTCCATTCTCAGGTTGCTCTGGAATCTCTTCCACTTCAAGATTCAGCTATCAACATTCATTCCTTCTTTGTTATCCTTTCATTCAATGAATATGAAGATTTATTTGATCATTAAACATTACAATAATAGGGTCTAGGGTGGAGCTCAATGATAGATTGCATGCTTAGTGTGTGTGAGGCCCTGGGTTCCACCCCCCAAACCATCCTTAAAATTGTACTAGTGGCTCACTTTTTGAGTCCCTAACTGTATGCCCGGGTCTGTGCAACTGACCTGTCCTTTTCCACTCAGTCCTTACTGTTGTCCACATCTGTTTTGCAAACTTCAGCTATGGAACTTGATCAGGTCATGTGGTCTCAAGTAACCACGCTGCGTTTTGAACATAGGTTGTTTGGCTCAGAGGTGTAGCCACTCTCTATATTGCCTCAGTGAACCGTTGCTTAGTAAACTTGGTGAGGACTTCCGAGGGTCATGTATCTGTCCTAAAGGCAGAGGAGAAAAATGAATAATGTGTATTTCTGCCCACCAGGAAGCTGGGGGTGGGATGGGATCTTCCTGAAGCCCTCCTGCTCTGCAAAACCTTTCCTCCTTGACCCACTAGTGGACTAATACAAAATTGGTTTTGTTACCACATTTCACAGACTTTCTTGTGCTTGAACCCCATAAGGGTTCTTTGATCTTATCTTCTAGGGGATGCCTCAAGTTCTGCTGTGGACTCTCTCTCTCTCTCTCTCTCTCTCTCTCTCTCTCACACACACACACACACACACACACACACACACACACACACACACATACACACATGCTACAGTTAATCGAGAGCTTAGACTCTGGAGCCAGCCTTCTTAAATTCAAATCCTGGCTACCATTTGCCACTGTGTGACCCTGGGTAATCTCTCTGAGCCTCAGTTTCTTCATCTGTAAAGTAGGTGTAACTTCTTCCTTGTAAGGTTTCTGCAAATGAAGTAAAATATGCAAAACATTCAGCACCTTTCTGGAATATAACAGACCTGGAAAAGGCCTGCTATTGTTTTTATCATTAGGGATGGGCATATCTTGCCACTTCAGTGAAACAGTGAGTCCTTGTTTCTTCCTTACTTCTGCCACCCAGGGCAAATGTACCTGACGGTGGGGTGTAGTCACTAGGTTTCTCTGCCTGAAGATGTGAGCGTGATTGTTGCTCTGTGCCCAGGTTCCTTGGAAATCTGAATCATGCCATGACAGCTCTTCCTTTGGAGATGAGGCCCTTTCACAATGAGCACTGTCATTTGTGTCCTCTGAGGTCATGTGTGGCTGCCCCCATTATTACCCACTGATAAGCCCTGAAGGAGTCTTGATAGGTTAATGACAGTGAGTTGACTCTTTAGCCCATGGCTGTGGTTGGTTGGCTACCTTGCAGAGCCTCCAGTGGCCTCTGAATTGACTGATGACCCAGTGTAGGGTCATAGTATTTCCTTCGTCTGTCCTTGAACTACAGTAGCAACTCAGACAAGGCCCCACCTGGACGGGACCAGTTTGGCAGCCTTTTGCTTCACCTCCTCCACTCCCCTGCCCTCAGGAGTTGCCTGCGGCCTGTGAGGTACTTTGAGGGTTTTGAAAGTTAAGGCCCTCAATTTAAAGACTTATCCTTTCAATTAGTGTTGGGATTGTAAGCAGCAGGTTGAAGATAGACCTAGGTTTGAAACCTGGCTCGCCAGGCGTGGTGGCTCACGCCTGTAATCCCAGCACTGGGGAGGCTGAGGCAGGAGGATCATTTCAAATTCAAGACCAGCCAAAGCTACAAAGTGAGTTCAAGGCCAGCCTGAACTGCATAGCTAGACCCTGTCTCAAAAAAGGCCAAAAAAAAAAAAGAAACCTGACTCGGCTCTTTCTTAGTGGTGACCCTGAGCTTTATAACACCTGTACCTGAGTCTGTGTCCTTGTCTGCACAATGGGCATGAGTGTGGTATTACTTCCTAGGTTGGCTGTAAGGGCTATGTACACGGGGCCCACTGAGTGCAGGGCCTGGCCCTTGCAGGGCTCCTGGGCCGCTCCCAGTGCTCTTGGGATGCAGTGCGGGGCACTGGACAGAGAAGGTGAATGGTTGGACTCAACAGAGTTCCAGTTCCAGCTCCGTTGTTTCTTGACTATGTTGACCTTAAGAAAGTCACCTTGCTTCTGAGCTACACCAGTACTTTCCAGCGGGCTAAAATCTGTGATTCTGAAGGTCCTTAAAGACAAAAAAAAAAAAGTAGTACTTCCCCAAGATGAACGTCATTATTATGTATCACTAAGATATACCAACACTAAAAATACATAAAATATATATACTTTACACACACACACACACACACACACACACACACACACACACACAAAGTAAAGAGGAAGACCAATTAGTTCCAGATGTCTTCAGCTGCCAAGGTCACCATTTCATAAGCCCCAGGGACTTGGTACCATCTGGGCCGAGCCTCCTCAACCAGGTGAGCCATTTGCAAGAGTCCAGAAAGCTTGCTGGGGCTGCAGGGAAGGAAGGAGGCTCGGAAGCCGAAGAGCAGGCCTGAGAAAAGCGGCATCCCCAAACACCAGAGGACAGTATTCTGCCCTTTGGTACCTTGGTCAAGAGTCGCCCTCCACCTCATCTGAACGCATTATTTTGTGGCAAGTGAGAGGTGTTTGCCCCAGAGGCTGAGGATGTTCTGCTTTGTCATAAAACAGGCCTCACCTGAGAAGCAGGACATTGTCTTGGGGGGACCTACTGACCTCTGACACATACCCTTCCTGGCCCTCCAAGCAATCAGAGTCACGCACAGCAGGCAGCAAATGACGGGGCAGGGAGAGGCCGCTGCATCCTGGAGAAAGGCAGTCCTTGCTCACGGGGTCTCCATCAGTGCAGAATCCCACCGAGCCATTGTTGTGCCCTGTTTGAACCCCCAGGGCGATGACAAGGGTGGGATTTACAGGAAATAAAAAGCAATTGGTTTTAACTCGTTCTACCAGTTTTTACCCCCTACTGTAAAAAAAAGTCACTTAGCCATTTTAATGCTACAAATTTCCCTTTACAGAGACAATGAGTTTTAGAGGAACCAAGTGAGCTGACTTACAAACAGCGAAGCCTCTAGCACCTAACGCTCTGCTCAACACTTCAAACTCATTGTCGTGTTACTTTTAAATGACAGCGTCACTGTGGAGAGTGGTATGATGGTTTTCCTTTTGCAGGTGGGAAAGCTGAGGTCCACAGAAGTAGAGGGACTGACTGCGGGCCGGTGGTACAGCTGGATGTGGACCCGGGTCCCAGCCACTCAGTAGGGGGACAGCTCTGCGCCCCTCCGGCTTCTGTCTGTGGCTAAGGCCAGCTGTAAGTGCACAAGCTCAGCGGCATAAGCGCCTGCCTTGCAAGTGTGCGGTTGTGAGTTCAATCCCTGGTACCAATAAAAATGAAAAAGACAAAAAAAAAAAAAAAAAGTGTACAGACTGTTGCAAGGTCTCGAGTCCTGATTACTCTCACACCCAGTGGCCAGTAACGGAGGGCTTTTTCCTCCTTTTCCTTAAGATTTCCTGGAGGCCACGTCCTCCTCTTCCTTCCCCTTTGCCTTTCTAAGGAAGTCACCACTTTTTCCA